GATTTTACTTCCTAATAAAGCTATCTATCTATCTATCTTTGTACTAAAATATTAAAGCCATCAATACACTGCGCCAACTAGAGAGAAAAATAGCACAGATAGTGCGGGTACATGTTGAGTAAATGAAATGACCGCTCTGTTGACGGCATGCTTGTTTTTTTTGTAATCCTTGTGCGCGCGCTGAATTACAACAGCAAAAGCGCGCGCGAAAACTGTGTTCAGCCACCTCAACGCGGAATTCCCTCATAAAATCTGTCAGCCAATGAGATATATTTAGAAAATAACAACTTAGAGAATATTGGCAAAACCGTCTGAACGACCTTGAGTTTTTACCATTTCGAAAAGTCAGGTCATGATCATTTCCACTATGTGGAAAACAATAAAGACATTTCACTGAGGGAAGTAAAGATATTAAATTAAGTTCTTAGGCCAAATATTGGAATATATCTGCCGTTCTAATTCATAGAAATGATGTTTCTATGGTAATGTCATTTATCTAAGAATTGGCAACCAAAATAGAATTTATTATATCGTTAGCCCAACTATTAAATCTATTGACAGAAAACTCTGAGATAAATTAGCTAAGTTTCCTTTCGTAACTCGCGCCCTGAAGGTAGTTTTATTCGTTAATGTTATTGGGAGCCATTTCATTGAAACAAAAAAAGGATCAAACTTGAACTTAATTGATAACTATACCCACCTTTTTTGCAATGTTTTTCCTTATAACTTGAATGACGATGACCGCTCTTTGTTTTTCCACTGCGCTGGAGCGAGATGTCAATGCACGAGATCTAGAGTCATAAATGAACGAGTTAAACAACTGTTTCATAGGTGCATCATACAATGATGTTTCAATAGCCTTCTCACCCACTTTTCTGGCGATTTTTCTTTCGTGCTTTTCATCACTTTCTGAATGTTTCCGAACGATAGTCTTTCAGCCACCTAAAAACTTTAAGAATTCGTTTTTCTTAAAATCCTTACGTTCACATGAAGTTTGAAGACGGGGTGTTAGGCTCAAATAAGGGGTCAGTATTAGGCTAACATAACTCCTTATGTACACCCCGGCTCTAAGTCCCACAAACTGGCTGCTGAAAGTAACAGTTACATGTATTATTGAACAAAATCCATCCTGTTGGACAGACTAAAAACGAGTCGAATGTTAGATAAAAATCAACATGTCAGTGGGTAACGTCTTCTACGTGACCACTGGGAAATATCGCAACATTTCTGAAGAATTAAGAGTTCCCCGTCTACTCACTGGCCAAAGAACCAATTATGGACCGCAAGCTTCTTAAATGTCAACGTGCAAAACAAACATGGCGGCTCGATACGATCGCACGATTGTTAACTTAAAAGATGTATTAAAACACTGTAAATCAATGTGATTTTTTTGTAATGGATTTTAGGGTTTCCAGCGACCATACCCATAAATCTATGGGTCTTCTACACTGAAAAAGAGGTCAACAGAAAAGAAGGCACGGAAGGGAAAGATTGCGAAAGGGCGACAGATTCAAAAGTTGACGCATGCCCAGATATCGATCTTGGCGAAGTGTTATTTTATGACGTTATGTTTTGGGAGTAAGAAGAGGGGATCTTTCGAGTGACACTGCGCTGCTTCGGTAAAATGTTTTGAAAATTGGCTCAATAATAATTATAAACAGTCTCTTTTCAAGTTAGGGCAGAAGAGCCCCTGGGGACATTGTCTTACAAGACTAGTTCCAAACGGTCGCAGTCGTTCTGGCATCTGATTGGTGCCAGAAAATCTTTGTGTTTTTCTGCCCAATCAGAGTGAAGTATGCTTTAGAGTCCTTTCGTGTGTTTTAACATGGACATATACAAGACCTTCAGTTGCTCGCCATGATTGTTTGGGCCGTACGACGAAGATTTGCTCGAGGTGAAAAGTTTCAGTATCAGCACACAATGTAAGAGAAATCGATCAGACTGTCCGCGAAAATCTTACCAGAAATTATCATGAATACTTTCGCAGGTATCACAAGAGAACGTGTTTACACGTTTGCGAGGTTCGTATAAAACACGATGGTTGCAGGCATTGATATGTCGCTTTAAACGTCAAACGAGATTTAAGCTCAAATCTTTCTAGATTTTTTGTATAATTTGCTTTGACCGAAACTTTGCCTGAACCCGTGAAGTTATTCGTCGCACGGGCCAATTAGACCTGCCTGTATAAATATTGCTTATAACTTAGAACTTAATATGATTTACCAAAAGCCTAAAAGCCTAAAAGCCTTAGTATGATTTACCAAAGCCTAAAAGCGGAGCTCCCAATAAGTGAAAATTTTGCAATAAAATTTCTTTACATATATTAAAAATTTTTAGCCAAAAATTCATTCAGTTTTGATTAAACCCATTGACACTTACGTGTAACACGTTCCTGTGAAAAGTCGAAATTTTGGGGAAACCGAGAAAGCAAACACAATGCCCAGTAAATTTTAAAAATCATCTTTTCCAAAAAACAAGCTCCAGTGAAAGAAGACTAATTAAAGAACTTATTTCCGATGAAAAAGCGATAGGTGCATAATACGTTTTAATTAAAAAATCAAGATGAAAGATAAAAATCGCTATTATATTTTTGCATGTGTGCAAATGGGCATGTGGATCATATTTCAAAATGAAATACGCGAATTTGTCCGTCAGTGAAGAGATCTTAAGTTCCACAAGACTAAAATAGCCAAGAAATATTTCGGGACGACAAATTTATTCAAAACAGTTTTTGATTTGCTGTTATAAACGAAAAACGAACGAATTTCTTACGTGTACATAGCCCACGCGGTAAAATTCATCATGCTTAGATCGTTGTTTATTTGCCTTCAAGGCCAGAAATTGCGCAGCGTTATGTTGAAAATTAAGTTAAAACTTCGATTTGACGCAAAATCTTCTATTAAACAATACTTTTTGAACACATTGTTACTTGAACATAATATTTACCGGGCTATCGAACCGTCAAATTGTCCCTAGGCCCTGTTTGAAGTTCGAAAGTTCGGTTTTCAATTTACGTCCATAATTCGCATCGCCTTAGAGAATCGTAGTGTCGTTGACTCGAGAGCTTATTCTGTCATCTTTAAGACCTTGATATCCATTATTTTCCAAGCAGAGTATTCTATAGCATTGTTACGTTACATTCTGAGTTCCACAAGGTCTAACTCGATCGCGAATGAACGAAAAATCCGACCCGAAAATTTTGAGGGTCGGCCGCACCGACGCCATATTTTCAAATTTGATCATATAGTATATTTTCGTAATAATATACACGACAGAGGGCACGTGCCCTGCCCCACGCGCGTGGGAGCTCCGCTATAACTTATAACGCTGAAAAGGCTCAAATGCAAACAGGCAAACCAACCTGTATGGAGCCATAGTATATAGATCCTTTCTTCCGTTTGAAATAATTTGGATTCAGCCGTCGTGTGCTGTTGTTCAGCTCACATGTGCGGTTTTTCGTGTTCTTTCCTGTTTGGACATTGAACGACTTGCACCTGTTGTTATAACTTCCGAGGCATTGCAGTTGGCATTCAAAGTCGTGAAAAACAATAGTGGTACTTAAGATGTGTCCAGTTAAAACACGATCTAAAATGCAACGAAAAAAATCTTTCGAAAGTAAAAAGGAAGAACAAATTAAAAAAAATGACGTGTTTTTAATCATACTTACCAACTTGAGTTTCAAATATGCTTCCGCAAATGTCTTTGTTTGCTGTAGAAAATCCAATTTCCAGAAAAATTGGAAGAATTGTAATGATAGCAAACTTCTTTGGAGACAAAACAGCCATAAGAAAATATTCGCTTGTTTCTCTTTCGAATTTCTGACTATTTGCCTCGGATTTGTCGTAGATACCCGACACGCCTCATTTTTTATTAATGCGATTTTAAAAAGTCAATGGTGCTTCTCAAAAGGAAAAGGTTGTATGAATGCTTTTTCTGTGTTTATATAGCTTTAATTAATTTTGAGTAGGTTTGGGCAGACTTACTGACAGGTTATTTGAATTCAAGACGCATTGGATGTTTATACAACTTATGAGATTTTCTCAACATCCAGAGCGCTAATAGGAGGCTATGTGCTAAACTCTAACAAGTCTTAAGTTGCTAACTTAAGATTTTTTGACAAAATGCTTGCCGAATCTGAACGTTTTGAGTTTGTATACCCTGGTGTAAACAGATTTCTCAACTGATGAAAATGCGTGCCCTATCATTAATAATTTATCCAACAGATAACATGCATAATTCCTCAGGCCAACCCTGTTGTCTACACAAGAGGCATAATTGATAATTGATATTAGCGGCTCTGTGTC